AGCGATCTAAACATTATTTTCTGAATATTAGCCATTTTTTATTATAAGTTTTAACTAATTTAAGCCCAGATTCCTTTGGATAATTGTATTAAGTTAATAAATACAATGGTGGAATAATTATTTAAGGTAGTCTAATCAAAAATAATTACATTCTAAAGCATATATTTTTTTATAAAGATAAATATTTATTTATGAAGTTATTCATTTCCGAGTATACAAAATTTTAATAGAAGACTAAATATAAGTAAATATTTTGTGTGAGAAATACAACTGAGCAAATTTTTATATTCAAACTAAGGTTTTAATTATATGCAAAGTAAAAAAGTATTTTTTTTTAATGCTCATTAAGTAAAATTCCTATCTGCTGCTTTTAAAAGCACAAATAAATAGGTATGTTAACAATAGGTGTATCTAAAATAAATTTTAGAAATAAAAGCGATATTTGTGGTGAAATACAATTGGTGAGGGAAAACTGTAAACCATTTTGAATACATTGAACATATGTATTAAAATATTCAATATGTATTAATTAATATTACATCTTTAATTTTTTTCATGATGTATAAAATTCTTTGAGGTAGGTAATTCTATGCATATACAGTCAAAAGTCGTTAATCCGGACTCATCGGGACTTCAGCGATTCCGGGTAATCGATTTTTCCGGATTATAGATCATCAGTTTAAATCTCGTAAGATGGCATGCAGAAATTCTAAAATTAAAAATATGAAACCGTAATTTATGAAATAAAGAACAATTATGATCTAAAGGGTATCAAAATTTACAAAAAAAAACAACTTGATATTTATTTGTTTACTTTATTAAACATTTCTTTTAATGTCAGTTGGGTACTACTTTAGTAGACGGTTGCATGGATTTCGGCGATTTTTCTTTTGGCGAGTAATACAACTTATGGTAACCCATTGCTGAATAAGTTATTTATGGTACCGATACTTTGTTGTCATTTTTATTAAAAAATAATGTGTTTTATTATGCATAACTTTCCGTGTTTTAAAATATTATTTATGGCTTCTAAATATTGAAAAATCAATTTAATTTTACATTTTTATTTGAATAAAAATTTTGTTGTTTATAATATTTTATATAATTTTATGTTGTGGATGATATAATCAATGATGTCACCTTACTTTAAAAGTAATTGGTTTTATGAATATCTATAAATTTAATCTAATGTTTTAAACATTATTTATGGCTGTTAAATATTAAAATACAATTTAATTTTGCATTTGTTTTAAAAATGATTTTATTATGAATGATTGTTTAAATAATTTTAATTCTATGCGTGATGTAATCAGCTCCCTGATTGGTTACTGAATATTTGTGCATTATGGCACAATTTTAAAATTTTATTATTCATCCTCTTCGAATTCCTCAGATTTCAAATGGAATGGATATCTCCATTTCAAAGATGAATGTTGTTATTGGTAATTACCAAGAATTATTGGTATTGGAATAAAAAAATTGCGCTTTGAGACCTTATTTTGGCCAACCTGTCTTTCCAATCAAAGATTTATTTATAAATTGTTAATAGCGTCAGAGGAAATTTATTTTAAATTTTGAGGAAACCTCGCTAATTGCTTCTTCAATGAAGTGTGAGATATGTGTATAACAGATGAAGATGGTTAAAAGAGCCAATTCAATTATGATTTCGATTTTTTTTTTTTTTTTTTTTTTTTTTTTTTTTTTTTTTTTTGTGTGTGTGTGTGTGTGTGTACATAAACAAGAGGTTAAATTACTCAAAAATGTAAATACATATTTTTCTTTTATTTTATATTGTATACTTCAATTTTTTGTTAAAAAATTAATACACTATTTTCAAAATTGCTGAGATAATTATTGTCACATATGTTTTTAAATGTTAATTATATTTTATATAACGTATTTTAAAGTATTTGAATTTATAATATTCTAATTCTTTTAAATGTTGGTAGGATGGTTTTTAAATTCAATATTCAATTTCAGTAATATTTTAATCTAATTAAACGTTGGCACAATGTTTTTACAGCGGTGTTTTTATTCTCTTTTTTGCTTTATGAAAGTAATAATAGCCTTACTTTAGTATTTTATACTCGTAGTAAATGTATTTATTTACACTTGCCTGCCATCTTAAAAAATATTTTTAAGAAAAAATTAATCCATTACTTTTAACGATATTTATTTTTTTAAAAGTTTCTAATACTTTACTATGCGTAAAAACAGCATTTTTCAAAATGGCTGACAGTTGTAAAAATCACACCAACAATTGCGCCAACGTAAATCGCCAAAAATCCGTGCAACCGTCTACCAAAGTAGCTTCGTTTTATGTGATAATACTTTCTCTTTAATTCTATAAACAGACATAATTTCTTGTTCAGTTACAAAGTTCCGCTGTTCAAGTCCCGTAATTGCTGTGCCGAGAATACCGACTAAGTTGTCAATCGAAATTTTTTCGTTTTCACTAACCTCTCTGTCACCTTCTTCATGTCTTTATCCATTTTTTGCAGCAATTCCACTTTTTATTTGATGGACATCGAAACATACTTTCATTTTGTAGATCCTTTGGGAGCTCTAGCATCGGAAATTGTATTTCACATAATCGAAAGTTCAAGTTCACTTTTATAAAATTGCTCTTACAGTCTGCAAAAAATAATAAGCCGCATCCAATTCGAAGATTAAGGAACAACGCATTCATCAACATTAACTGAAATAGATAATTAGATAATTTTGGCTTATACCGTCCGTTATACATTAAACGCGCGCACGCGAAAACGTATTCTGCGCTTGTGCAAATGTATATGCGCAGTCGTAAAGGTCTTACGCGCACGTGTAAACGCCTATGCGCATGTGTCAACGCGGCGCAGAAAGTTTTTAGCTTTGAGGTCCAGATTATAGAGCATTCCGGATTATGGGTGTCCGAATTAACAACTTTTGACTGTACCTATAAATATGAGCACTATTAATATGTCCATAAAATGTATAATTTGGCCTCCTATGTGCTCTTGAATATTTTCTCTTTTGGAAACCTTTAAATAAATTAAATGACAAAGAGGAATGCAATTCATTTTGATAAATGTTATAGTAGTAATATTTTAGTGTACCTTAATAAATCACTTTAAATATTGTTATTTAATTTGAAAATTATTCACCACATGAGAAAACCCATGATGATGGTGAATCATATCTTGTGAAATTTTCATCTGCTATTTGTTAAATGCTACAGTATTTCAGCATTTTATGTATGAGCAGCTGTTCTTTTATCAACAGAATGAAATTTATGGTTCATAGTAAAATATTTTTAACTTGGTTTTTTCAGTTTCTCCAATTTATATGCTTAGTATTACAAGTATGTTTGTAATATTAAGCATATAAATTGGAGGAACTGCACAAGTATGTTTGTCTGTCTATTTGGAATCTAAGCGAGAAAGAATCAAATGTTTCTTGGCATAATCTGCCAAATTTTCAGTATTATGGAAGAAACCTGCCACTTTTTTTTTTTTTTTTTTTTTTTTTTTTCCCCCTATGTGAACTAATTGTCATTTTTATGTCCACGGTTTTTTTAGGGCTATATATTTGCTTATTTAGTTGTCAAATTAAATGTAGAGAGTACACTTTTCTCAAAAAATGTTTCACGTAATAGTTGTGTTTTCGTAAAGGTTAAGATGCTCCTCTTACCGCTTAATCGATGTCAGTTCTTCTGCCAAACAGTAAACAAATTGCTATTCTGTAACAAAAAGTATTTTGAAACCATCAAATCATTTGTCAAAATGCCTACTTTTTTTTCACTTGCAGCTTTTCACATTGCACATCCAAATGCTTTCATTGATGCATAGTTTTATTTAATTGCCATTTTTGCATCTTTGAATACAAGGTGAAATGATCTTTTTTTTGGGGGGGGGGGGAAGAATATAACATCTTCATTGTTTTGTAAATTAAGCATTTAAAACATTTAAAAAAATACATAAACATATGGAATACTCAGAGCTCTCCTTATGATGAGAGAATTATGTATGATCATGAATAAGTAACATTTATATAAAAAAGTCTGCATGATAACATGTAGTTTACTCAGAGCTCACTGTTGGCCATTTAATGAAGGTTTGTGTGGGATATTTATTGATAACCTTGGTGCCATTTACAAAATGGGAGCCATAATAATAAGGAAGTAGGAAATAAAGTTTTGATTCGTGTTCATCCTTACTTTTGGTTTAGGAAATTAATAATGCTAAAGCTATGACATGCAAAAATTATATAACTATAAAAGTTTTATATAATGTTCAATAAATTCTTTGAGTAACATTAAAAAATCATGCTGGACAAGTTATATGTATTAAGATTAGCACTCTGAAAAACTAATCATAAATAAATAGGTGTATAATAAAGACTTAAATAATGTGCATTTATTTCCTGGTTTTTCCATACTGTTCCTGATTAACTTATATCATAGTTTATATAATTTTTCATATTAAGAGTTTATTATTATATTTGGTAGTTATGATATTGCCAGTATAGTACTTACCATTATTAATATATTTTTAAAATGATAAGAATTTCAGTAAAAGATCACTGTCCAAAAAATTAATAAAATGAAATAAAACTTTTTATTTAGTAAATGAAATTAAAAAGGTGATTCATATATATTTTTCTCTACTGATCTCAAATTTTTTATGCAACTTTCCATCATTGAAAGTTTGAGTAATTGCTTTAAGAAAGGTAACAAGAATGGTAAATAGGAAGAAAAAAAAAAAAAAAAAAAAAAAAACACTTCTATTATAAAAAATATATATATATAGTTCTGAAGATGATTGGGGGGAATAGGCTGATATCATTTTTGTAGTCAGCTCATAAATATAAATGAGTTAGCTTAAATTATATTTTTTAACAAATCGCTACTCCAATATAATTATTAATATTTCTCTGTATGACTGTTTCACATAATCTTATCTTTAAACTAATGGTGCATGTGATATTGTGATAAACTACATTGTTTATTTTGATATTTTCAGGTGAAATTGTCACTGAGGGGGATCAAACAACCCCTTGCTATTTCGTAGGTAATCAATCAGACGCCGAAAAAGCGCCTACTGGTGCTTACCTCTGTAATCTTTCTGAATCAAATTGCACAGAGGGGTGGATAGGACCCAATTTTGGAATCACTAGCTTTGATAATATTTGTTTTGCCATGTTGACAGTTTTTCAGTGCATCACCATGGAAGGCTGGACAGCCATTTTATATTGGGTGAGTTGTGATGCATTTAATTTAATGATAGTCTAATTAATTAATTGCAAAAAGAGTTAACTTCAGATTTGTCTCAATTATGAGCATGAATTCTTTCTTAGCATTTTTCATTGATTATATGGTGTTAGTAAGCAGATAAGTTCACATTTAAAAGAGTTGTAATTAATAAAGATTACTTTCAACTTTAAGAACTTCATTAACTTCCACATTTCATTAAATTCATAACATTTGTTTCATTACAATAGTTAAATTCTACATTTTACTAGATTTAACTTTTTGAAATTAAATCTCTCTTAGTCCTAATTTATAGATCAATTTTGTATATGTCTTTAATTACTTAATATTGTTTCTTTTAGTCTTTCTTCGGGTAAGGAATACAGGATGTCACATCAAGACCGCTCAAACTCTTGGAAGTCAGCTTTCTCGCTAGGAATTAAGTGTATGGCTCATAGTTTCTGAGATAAATGTGAAAGAAAAAGTATGATGTTATTTCTGATGAAGGAAAACAAAACCTGTATTGGAAAATGAACATCTGTATTTGCATATGTTTAATAGGAAGACGTTGAAAATGCCCACCATATAGATTAAGACATGCATGCACTTGCTGTGGATTGGCATCGTCATTTGAATCATTTTTAAAAGGCTGCATCTAGGAGCTGCCAATAATTTTCGCACGGTGATAATGTATTTTGTTTATGAATATTACAACATGTATTTTATCTTCGGCCAGTATAATGGTAATACCTTATGAACTACTCGGGAGTATGGGCAGACTATCCCTCACATCATCCTCCCGATGCCGAAGTCATCCGCAAGTTGGATGACAAACTGAGAAATACTGGAAGCATCCATCTAACACACAATTTTCACAATGTGGGGGAAGAATGCATGGTAGGCTTACACCAGAACAGGAAGATGCAATACTGCATAACTCTCGAGTTGAGCAGAAACTCTCAAAATGAGCACTAGCCAGGAAGCTGAATGCAAGTAGCAATAGTGTGCACTGACTATTAGAGAAGCTATAACCATTTGGCTACACAACCGTACAAAGTCTACATTCAGATGACTTTCAGTTATGCATTGACTTCTGTAAATAGCTATTGCAACAACATGAAGCTGATAATGCTTTCATTGCATATGTGTGATAGACAGATGAAGCATGCTTCATATATGAGGGAGTTTCCAACTGTCAAAACAGTCATGTATAGTCAGAATCTAATCCTCATGCAGTACACCTGCAGAAACATCAGGTCTGCTGGTCTATAAATGTGTGGGCTGGAATAATAAATGTTAGGCAGTCACATGACTGGACCATATCTGCTCTCTGAATGGCTCACATAACATTTATACTTGGTATTTCTCAGTGATGTATTAACCAATATCGTAGATGACATAGCCTTAGTGGCAGTATATGACCTGTGGTTCCAGTATGATAGAGATCTGGCACATTTCAGTGCTTCTATCTGGTATTGGCTGGATATGGAATGCCCTAGCCACTGGATTAGACGTGGGGTCCGGTTCTATGGCTGCCATGATGATCAGATCCGACACGTTTGGATTTTTTCATATGGAGCCATCCGAAGGAATTGGTGACTTAGTTACTCATCTTGATGCTGCATATACTTTGGTAGACACTGCGCTGTTGCAACATGTGCATCAGCCATTCTTCGGCATGGATATCATGGTTTGATATGAAGGGTAAATATGACGTCTTCCTACCAATGTTCATGTTTCCATTAAAGTTTTTACCTTGCATAGGGTATGATGTCATACTTATCTTTCACATTTATCTTGAAAACTATAGGTTGTACGGGTGCAGTTCTTCGGGCATTTTTTATGTATGCCAAGCGAGGAATGGCCGTCCATGTTTGCATGGTCTTGACAGGACACCCTATATATTGCCACTCATAAACAAAATATGAAATGTTTGCTTAATTAAATGCTTGTTAAGATTTTAATACTGTACAAAGTCTGAAATCCAGACTCTTCAGGACTTCGGGGATTGCGGATTTGGAATTTTTCCGGAAATTAGATAATCAGTTTAAATCTAGTAAAATGGCATGTAGAAATTATAAAATTAAAAATATGAAATCGTGATTTATGAAATAATGAAATATGCATGATCTAAAGGGTATCAAAATTTACAAAAAAAAAAAAAAAAAAAAAAAAAAAGCTTAATATTTATTTGTTTACCTTATTAAATATTTCTTTCAATGCAAGTTGTTTAAGTTGCTCCATTTTTTCTGCTAATATTTTCTCTTTCATTCTGCAGACAGACATAATTTCTTGTTTAGTTACATTGTTGAAGTCCTGTAATTGCCGTTTCGAAAATTCCGACTAACTTTTCAATCAAAATTTTCTCGTTTTCAGTAACTTTATAAGGTATTTCTCCCACTTTCCTAGCGTCCTTCGTGGTGTAGTGGTTCTGCACGCTAAGCCGGTATTCCAGAGATCCGTGGTTCGATTCCCGGTGAAGGCGTCGCTAATTTTTCTTCTCTCTGGCTTCAAAAAAATCCTAATGTCTCTACAAGTGGTGCTCGAGCTAAAAAAGGGTTGTGGATGATGATTCTCCGCACCCAGGATTTGGCGACTAGGTCCCCTAAAACCCTAGTCCCCCTTTAAAAAGGGGAGTATATAAGGTATTTCTCCCACTTTCCTAGTGTCCTTCGTGGTGTAGTGGTTCTGCATGCTGGGCCGGTATTCCAGAGGTCCGTGGTTCGATTCCTGGCGAAGGCGTCACTAATTTTTCCTCTCTCTGGCTTCAAAAAAATCCTAATGTCTCTACAAGTGGTGCTCGAACTAAAAAAGGGTTGTGGATGATGATTCTCCGCACCCAGGATTTGGCGACTAGGTCCCCTAAAACCCTAGTCGCCCTTTAAAAAGGGGAGTATATAAGGTATTTCTCCCACTTTCCTAGCATCCTTCGTGGTGTAGTGGTTCTGCACGCTGGGCCGGTATTCCAGAGGTCCGTGGTTCGATTCCCGGCGAAGGTGTCGCTAATTTTTCCTCTCTCTGGCTTCCAAAAAATCCTGATGCCTCTACAACTTCTCTGTCGCTTTCTGCCCTATCGGTAGTGGTATTTTCTGGATCTAGAACCAAACTACAGATTTTGCCATTCATTAATTGATTGGTGATTGAGAAGCAATGTGATCACAATGAAAAATTTTTTTATATCATCTTCATTTACTACTTCTCCACATTTCCTTACGAAATCCGTTCATTGGAAAATTTCACCTTTGTTTTGCAATATCCGAAAACCTTTAAAATTAGCGACTATCATCATCAAATTTAGCTATCCTTCACTATACATATTTGGCTATGCATCATGAGCTTGACGACTAACCACAAGTTGTTCCGTTAAATTTTATCTCACTTCTATCGCGCACTGAGACAATTAAATCTGAATTGTATTTAGTTATTTATTATACTTATTTCTATTCTTGCACATGCTTAAGGCTTATCAGAGTTCTAAATAAATAAATTTCCACATATACTTAAGCCTTATTGAGGGCTGGCACTAGATATCTTACCGCCTGTTGCAGTCCCTGTGGGTTCTAAATTCTGCAACTCCATGCGCCCATAAGAGCTCTGGCGCTGGTTCTGGGTTTATGTGAATAACAAATCAGTTATTCTTAATTCAAATAGTCCTAAATGTAATCTTTGGGTCTATGAGTATCATCGCAAATCTTTTTTAGCATGAAGAGAAATTTTGGTAAATTTTTTTCCTTGTCAACATTTTTTAGCATTTAACTAAATCTGTAATCAATCGCAAGCGTAATGTCAACATAAAAGGTACCATACTCCTTTATTATTCAATTACTAACATTAAAAAAAATGTTTAGGCATCGCTACATGATTCCATTACTCAAGTTGTCATGTTTGTAACATGCGGTGATGAAAGGAAGTATAATAATAATGATTTTGCCGGTTGGCGTCAGATCAGCGATGTATCTTGTGAATGTTTGTTGAGATGTGTGCCAAAAAGCAGATACGCAGCAACGGAGCCAAATTACTGATTGTACAAATTTATGCTAAAATGTTTGTTTCTTCAATAACAAGATATTTTATTTAGTGTCGAAGTGAAATTAAGAATCGGGATTCTCCATATGTTTTATTATGTGCAGAGGGGGCATCAAATGTGCATGCGTAAAGCCTAGGAGAAAAACGTTGTTGGTGGTTGTAGGTATGGATTTTAGATCATTCCGAATAATGGACGTCCGGATTTCGGACTTTGTACTTTATGGTGTAATTTGAAATTTCAGGATAGTTCAAGTGTTACTGTAAGCTTCTGAGAAATGTAAAATATAGCTAAATAGAATTTTCAAAGAAAAAATAAAAATAATTTTTAGGAAATAGGATTTTAAAAATAAATAAAAATCTTTAATATATTAAATTGTTGTCTTTGAAATCTAGTTTATTTTAAAGACCTCTTTCCCTATCCCTCTGCAAAAAGTTTTGCTATTAAGTTGTGATTGTCAGAGAAATCTAAAAGTTTGAAATGAAATAAAGACATGTTAAGATAAGTTCTGATTCCTATTCAAACAGTTAAGACTACTTTTAAATAACTGAAATGGATAAGAATTTTTAAATCAGCAAAGTAATTTCTTTACATTTTTTCCTCTTGTTGAGCACTGGCAAAAGTAAAATATTTAGATATGAAACTTAAAAATGATTCCTTTTCACAGTCTTTGTAATTCATATATGCATGTAATTTGTGAATAGTTTTTATTAATTTTAAGTAAACAGAACTAAAATTAATAAAATATAATATTTTTTATCTTTGATATTTTAATTTATTTATTTATATTTATTTATTTATTTATATTACAGACTAATGATGCCCTAGGAAGTAACTTTAATTGGATCTATTTTGTACCTCTTATTATTCTGGGATCATTTTTTATGCTCAACTTAGTTCTTGGTGTTCTTAGTGGGTAAGATACACACTTTATTTTGATAATTTTTTTTGAAACTATTTAATAGTTTAAAAATTCTAGCACTTCCTTTTTACTGAGGCTGTACCTTTTTTTCATTAATAAAATTTTTAATTGTTTTTGAATATCTTTTTATTTGTAGTAAGGTACCACTTAAAACAAGAACTACTGAAAAACAATTATATGTATTATCTCTGTGGCATGTCTAATTATGCATAGCGTGAGTGCATATATATGGTTTTTTGGGGCTAGCTGATATGTATGTGATATAGAGGGAATGAATATGACCCCTATCACTTTATTTCGTCAGCAATATGTGACCTAAAATTTTCCAGTTGCTTCGACATGTTGGTTTTCCTGCCAATTGGTAAGAAATGAATATGGTATGAGTCAGTCTTTTGCCATGAATCATAATTAGCATTTTATTGAGAAGACAATTACAGTTGTTACAATTAGGCCTCTAAAATATTGAGACAAGCTGCTGTGTTCATGGCAGAGTTGGCTCCAACATTTTTGGTGCTCTACATGAACAATACAGGTGGTGCCCTATATGTATATATATCAAGCATATTAGTACTTTCCATTAAAAATATATTTGTTTATTAAAAATGGAAAATTTTTCATACTTGCAGCATATTCAAACCAAGCTGAAATCATTGGTAATGTCATTCATTTTACAAACCATTTGTAAGCTGAAATCATTGGTAATGTCATTGCATTGTAATTCTTCAGCAATATCATGTTCTATCGATAAAAATGCAAATGAATTCAACTTTGTTGTTGTTGCTTATGCTCACTTGTTCATGTGTCACAGTTCAGGAAATAGGAAGAAATCACAGGGTGTGAGATCAGGTAAGTACGGAGGATGAAGCAAAACAGTTGTTAAAGACATTTTGGGTTTCGCAAGAAAGTAATTCACGAGTAGGGATCGATGAGCAGGAGCGTAGTCATGCAACAGCACCCATCACTGCTCAGCCCACATTTTTAGTCTCTTCTTCTGGATCGACTCATGCAAACCACTTGGGATTTCAACGTAGAGTTATTTGTTCACAGTCCTTCAGGGGTAAATTCCAGATGCGCAATGCCCTGAATGTCGAAGAATATCTCTAGCATGACCTTTCCTTTAAAGCAATCGTGGTGGAATTTCTGCTTCCATGGACATTATGGTGATTTTTACATTGTCGATGCTCTCTTGGTTTGCGGGTCGTACAAAAAACACCATTTCTCGACTCCAGTAACAATTCTGCTAAGTAGGGAAGGATCTTTGTCAACAGCCGAGATTAAGTCTCTCTCCATATCCATTCAAATTCCCTTTTCGTCTGCGTTTAATATGCGGGGCACGATGTGTTGAAACGCCCTATGCATGTTAAGATCCTTAGTTAATATTCACTGATATGTGGCCTCTGATGTTTTCATTAGTGTGCGAAGTCACGGGGTGGCCACGGGGTTCGTCGTCTTCAGCACTTTCCCTGCCTTCTCTGAAACGATGATGCCACTCAAAAGCTTGCATTCTCGATAACGTTTCACTTCCGTACGCAGGCTTCAACATTTCGAAAGTCTCCATAGCACTCTTTCCCAAGCGAACACAAAATTTGATATTGATTCTCTGCTCAACTGACACCTTTTCTTTCTACCACCAGTTATTTCTACACCAGTTATTACCTTTTCTTTCTACCACCAGTTACCACCTGCCTACAAAAAATGCTCTCACCAGACAAACCACTTTTAGAAAAGGGGGAGAACGTAGTAACACAAAAATGTTCTCACACTATTGCAAAAAATTTTTAACCTTATAGACTCAGTCCGGGAACTTTGAATCCAACAAGCATGAAGACTACTCAGACATTTTTGCATGATAAGAGAATTCTGAGTGATCATTGATTATTAACATTTATTTGGAAAAAAAAATGAAAATAGCATAACATGCTTGATGTGGAGCTTTTCTCATCAAGGAAATACACTATGCAAAAAAATGCATTTTAGGATTAAAATTATTGAGCTGATTTTTGTTTTTTAAAACCCTCTTAGATTTATTTACTTAAGACTGTGCCCTTATTGGCAATTGAAGCCAGAATTTTTGGCACCATGGGCAACTGGTCATCTTGTCCACAAAATCTGCTGAGCTATCCAGTAGTAGTTGATTTCTACATAATCATTGAACTTCTGTAATTTGACTGATTAATTTGGTCTATATAGGATAGAATGTTAGCGTCATAGTTTGACGTTTGTAAAATTGATTATTTGGAAATACGTGTCTTGGGTGATAATATCAGCTGTGACACAATATCTTTGAATATAAAACATCTTCAGAATTATTTTTAATTGTTGAATTTGCTACAAACATAAAGAAATATAGTTAATAATTCTTGTAAATTTTGAGACTGTTAAATTTTTCTGTTGTAGAAGACAGCATGTTTTATTTTTTTAATATTTTTGATGTATTATTTGACATACTCAGAAGTACTGATTACATATATGACGCACAATTTTGAAATCTGGAGAATAAACTTTATTGCATGTAAAATGAAGAAAAGTAGCAATCAGTAACATGATTGCTACTTTTCTTCATTCATGAGAGTAAAAACTTACACTGACAGATATTAAATAATAATAATAAATAAGCAAATATTAAAAATTAAATTAATATTTTTTATAATTTAAAATTTATCTTTTCATGTAGTAGTAACAAATTATTAATGAATATTTATTATGCATCATTAATAAAATTGAGAAAATTCCATATGATTAATTCTCCATAAACATTTTTTTGGAAACTTAAGGTTAAAAATAACTGTGGCAATTTATTGGAGATTGTAGCAAATCCGTGATCAAATTTCCCGTTATTATTGCTTAAAACAAAGATACCAAATTTCAAAATGCGGCCATATATCAATTCATGTATAGCTTTGGAAATTTTGAATAAAAAACTGATTGTTTTCATAAGTATGTTTAGAAATACATATATTTTAAGATGATGGTAAAAGTTTTATAGAGCAATATTCAAAACTTTTTTTCGGGAAATTTATAAGAATTACTAAAAAATACAAATCTTGAATATAAATCTTAAAAAAAGTGGGAATTTTATTTGGCTTGAACCCAAATTTCTACCTGGGAAAGAAGGAATTAAGTAAGTTTAACTAAATATATACCAAATTCAATTAACATTGAGGAACTAAAATTTTGAGAATTGATTTTTTTAAAAACTATGCATGCGATTTTCACAAAACTTAGCATTTTGGCATAACTTGAAGCGTAAAATTGAAATAAGAAAAAAAAAATTTATATGTCATTTCAGAAAAAGTAAGATTTATTGTCAAAATACCTATATTAGAACAACAATATATGTAAATATAATATATCTCTCAAGTTGTCCTTTCAAGACATGAAAAATCCAAGTTGAATTTCATCAATTGGCCTAGTAGAATGAAAGATGAATTGTCCCTCTCCCCTTTTTTTGAGTAGCTGTACCATAAATGCAATTTTTCTCCAGACCAACTGAGATTCCTGCCTGTTGCTTTCAATACCTGCTGGCTAGGGAGTATCATTATCTCACTATGGCCAATAATAGTGCATTAATTGATGTTTACCAGGATTACACATTTGACCCTGACCCTTGAATGGTTGTGTCTGTTTGGGAGGAGGCAGCCCTGTACATTTTTGCCAACTAGTGCAATCTCTGCAGGTTGTAAATATTGTTGTTTGGTGCTTCTCTAAATTCTAAAAATTTTGATGCTCCTAAATTCTTTTGCCGAGAACCTCTCCAAAATTCTAAAATTTCTGGCATTCCCATTAAATTCTGACATCTGGTATAGCTGCATCAATTGTACCTGCTCTGGTGCTAGTCCTGTGTGGGGGGGGATGCATTTCTCTCTCTGATATAAAAAATAAGTGAAGCCCCACTTTTGTCATGTCTACATGTCATCTTATTGGATTTAAAATCGGGAAATTTTCCAGAATTTAGAATTGCTGAAGTCCCGATGATTCCAGGTCTCAGACTTTATAGTCTATGCCAAATATTATAAAAATATCTCCAAATATGTGAATGCATTCAAGGAATTGAGCGTTAGTGAATAGCCAGTGAATATGTATGTTGTTATTTGAACACTAAGTCTCGTTCATACACCTCCTTTGTTCTGAAATCGTTCCTTAAGCAGTCACTGTTTTAACTAAAATCCTAAATGGTTTGAAAAGTTCCCATTTAAGTTCCAACAATCTATTTTCAGACAGTAGCTAAATGCTGCTGATCATAGACTTTGAAGCCCTTCCTATAATAATGTTTGTCTATGGTTTAAGAAAATATTTTGACTTGAAGTACATTAGCTCAGAAAATGTTTTTAAATTATTTACATGTTTAAAAGTAAAATCTTTATTTATTTACGAGGGGTGATCCAAAAAAGTTTACAAGGCAAATGAAAAAGTATTTATTAACAATAGAAACAAGATACAAATGGGAATCAAGAGACACATCTGGCCTTCACTTTTCCACATAGTCGCCAAACCTGTTTAGGCATTTGTCTGAATGTTCGACCAACTTGTTTATCCTGTCTTGGTAGTAATCAGAGCCCTGCTTCATTAAGCTCATTTCTCAGCAGCTGTTTTCACTGCATTGCCTGAGGTGAACCTGTGTTCCGGATAAGTATCGCTTCAACGCCGGAAAAATGAAATAGTCACTTGGAGCCAAATCGGGGCTGTATGGGGGGTGACCTCCCACTTTGAAGCTTTGCAGCAATTCCTGAGTCTGACGAGCTGTATGGGGCCTGGCATTGTCATTCAGAAGAATGACGCCTTTGCTCAGTAATCCAGGCCGTTTGCGCCAGACGGCTTTGTGCAATTTCGTTAAGGTGGCACAATAACGATTGCCCTTAATGGTATGGCCACGCTCCAAATACTCGATTAGGATAACACCAGTCGTATCCCAGAAAATGGTTGCGATCACTTTACCGGCAGAGGGTGTGACCTTAAACTTCTTCCTTGTCTGTGATCCAGCGTGTTTCCACTCCATCGTGGCTCTTTTGGATGTGGGGGTGAAGTGATGAAGTCATGTTTCATCACCAGTAACGATGCGATCAATGAAGTGTTGGCCGTCTGAATGATATCGCTGAAGAAATGTGAGGATGCACATCATTTGAGTGGCCTTATGCTCTGCAGACAACGCACATGGAACCCAGCGGGCACAAACTTATATATATCGCAACTCGTCGGTATCGCAACTCATCGGTTACGATACGCTGAACGTTACCATAACTCAGGTCCAACTCTGAGGCAATCTCACACATAGTTACTTGTCGATCCCTTTGGATGATTTCTTCAACAAGTGCCGTGTTGATATCCGTCCTTGAAGAACTTGGGCGGCCGCTCGCTTCCATATTGCAGTTTTCCACATGCTCCCTGCCCGCTTGATAAGAACAACACCATTTCGCTACCCGTTGTCTACTCATTGCTTCGTCCCCGTATACCTCAACGATTTGTCTGTGAATTTCAAATGCGGCCACATTATTGGCCGTAAGAATCGAGTTACAGTTTGCACCTGTATGCGAGACCACTTTTCTAGACGTTGTGCCATTACTGTCGCTAAGTGTCTGCGTGCTGATGCTACTTACTCATAGAACCGCTGTAGGACAACTAGTGCCATCTGTCAACCACCCTGGGTGGAAATATTCGCTCCACAATTATTACGTTTCAAATGCTTCTGCTTGTAAACTTTTTTTGGATTAACCTACGTATTTATTATTTGGCATATGAATTCATTAAATGAGTATGCAGAAAATCAGTAAAATTCCATTTTTATATAGTTTTAGTATATGGATTCAACTAAACTATATCATATTATGTTCCTTAATTGAAATTTATTACAACCAGTATGTATAATTTTAAAGTAGTTCAAGATTTTTCTTGTATGTATCGAGTATACAATTTTGGGCAAGCCTTTATAAAGAGTTTTAAGTTAGAGATGAGCACATCTATCATTAATTAAATATTTATGGGTACCTTGGAAACAGTTTGATGTGGCTCAATACTGAACATGCATTCCAGTTTTGACGAAATTCACCATAGGTAACAATGTGCATTTCCCATACATCTCTTCAATTATTCTAACAATGAGAAGAACTTAGAGCCATCATATTTTATGTGAATTTACTTTACATAGATATAATCATAATAAACAGTTGAGCTTAAAATATAAACTTCACAGGCACATCTTCTGGCTTCTGTATCAACTGGACAGCAGTAAAAGTTTTTAATCATCTTTAAAACAGTATGAATTTTTTTAGCATAGGTAATTTCTGCAAGAAAATTATAAGATCCTGGAACTGATGAATTTTATGGTTGTAAACATTAATAACATAATGTTAAAGAAATGGAAATCATTTCATAGCTGACATTTTTTATTTCAAAAATAAATAAATAAATAAAATTTTAAAAAATGTGTTGTGATAAAGTGGTATCTTTTTAAAAAATATGTTATGTAATAAATATAATTTCAATGTAACTGCAGAAAATATACATTAATTATGATAAATAGGAATACCCATTAATTTCAGTTAAATTTCATATATTGCCATTAATTTCAGTATAAAAATGTTAGATATGTTTTGAAAGAAAATGCTTTTTCTCTATTTATGTATGTATATAGAGTTGTGTATAAAGTTATTCATTCTTCTGTTTTTTATGTTCTAGTGAATTTGCAAAAGAAAGAGAAAGAGTGGAAAATAGACAGAGTTTTTTAAAACTTAGAAGACAGCAACAGTTAGAAAAAGAATTGAATGGCTATGTAGAATGGATATGCAAAGCTGGTGTGTATTAGTTCTTGTATGAAGTTTTATTCATTTTAAGTTTTTATTCATTTATTTCTTATAAGAAGGGAATGTATATAATTATGCATTATATAATTTTTGTACAATGAATTAGATTTGCAATACGGATAACATTTGTTTTACTAATTACCGATTTGTTACTTTGTTTGTTTTTTACTACAAAGTACTACATGATATCATCATCCTATGCAGGTATCATAAATTTTGCATGCTTGTCCTCTGTACATAATTAGTAATGCTTTGTCAGTAATAGTGAAATCTGCCAACTTACCTAGTTTGATTGTAGGCAGATAGCTGTAATCTGAGAAGGCCATCATGTTCACTAGTTCACATGTCAGCTTTATCCGTACCACTACATTAAGGATGTAATAATAATCAGATTTTAAATATGGCACCATATATTCCAAGTTGTATTCTGTATTTCGTCTTCAGTAGGCAAGTGGAGGTAAACACATTTCACATACATTTTATTTTATGATGAGAAAAAATGACTCCTCCATTGAAGAGATGGTCTACTGAACTATCTATCTTTTTTTATTATTTTTGAAATGTATGTCTAAATGAATTTAATTTTTTTCATTTATAATAAATTAAAATAATTGCACAGAATACACATATATTTTAAAATAACACTTTTATACCCTTATATTTTACAGCTCAATAAATCATTTTTGACTTTATAAGTGGGTGTCAGCACTTTGCCCATCTGGCTACTTTAATTAAGCAAATTTGAAAATTCAGTGAAACATGAAATAAGAGTGAAGTTTTCCAAGCCTATAAATCATTTGTTTGAATGAATTATAACAAAGATCAAAATCATCAATCAGTTTTTTGAGTAAACATTCATTATCAGTAAACCAGCATGACTCTGCCTTAACTGAAGTAATAACAATTCTGAAAAAAGTATAAAGTATTATTGTTGAAAAAATATATGCATAATGTCAGCTGTATTTTTGTGATTGAGTGAAAAAAGTCAGTACATATATGAAATGTTTCAAGTAAATGATATTTATTGAAGTCACTCATTCAAGCTCAAATGTTTTTCAATTATCTATGAGTATTAACTTATTATTACTTCTCACCTTCTGCATAGTTGCTACCATTAGATCATGATGAAGTAACATCTCTATCCTGAAGGGGTTGAAGGAAATGCAACTTTTCCCTCCCTCTAAGCATTTATTTAGTCATCTGTTTTTAAATGTTATAATTAATTGAAAACTTCAGATTTTGAGTATGTGGTGTTTCCTTAAACTGAAGTTTGTTGCAGTTAAAGAGAATTGTTAATCCAAATAAACAAAGAAAGATAAGGCTATTTTTTTAATTGGGACTTGTTGTCTTTTAAACAAATGCCTGTACCAGATGAAAAAACAAATCAGAATTGATCATATGTATATATATGTACCATATATTTAAAAATAGAAGTTATTATCATTATTAGTTTCATGTATATATTTAAACTATTATATACTATATATTTAAACATAGTAACTTTTGAATGACATAATTCTGATCTAAGTTGCCTGACCCTATGGTATTATTTGCATAACCACTGTTTTCCAATAAGTATTTATGCAATTCAGTATGTGAATGAAGGTTCATCAATGTTTTATATTCAAAGTGATACATATTTCAGTGTGCAAGAAATGAAATATATAGTTAAGTATTCAGTAATTTTGATAAGCATGTTACTAAAATTATGTCATGCAAGCTTTTGAAGTTTGTTCATTTTTTCATGTCATTATCCCCATGCTTTTCTGATATTTGCAAAAACATACATACTATATTTCTGTGTTTTATAATCAAATGGCATTAATTAGATAAAAAAATAGTTTGAAAATGGTAAATCTCATTTAATATAGAGTTAAAGACATAATTCAATATTACTGCTCAGTAATTGTATTGAATATATTTTTGCTTCATTTTGCTTAAAATTATGTGTTTTTGTTAGCAAACCTCTCATAGTCATGGCTGTTTCTGGGAGGGAGAGGTAAAAAAAGAATAATCTAAAAATAAAAATAAAATTTAAGTAACAGTTGACTTCATGTATCTATAAGAATAGAGAAGCCATTAAACATGGTAATTAATGCTGCAGTGTCCTACATTAAATCCAAATATTAGTGAATTCATAATTTTCATAATCTGATGCATTATTTTTTCTTTATATAATTCATAAACATTGTCATTTTCATCATCTTGCTTTTATAAATCTTAATAAGAGCCATTGTTTTCTTAAAACTTGCCTTGATTATTATCTCTAAAATTATTTTTCATGTCTTAAAAATTCATTCAAACATTACTGTCAAATTTGATCATCATATTTTACATCTATAAGTCAAGTTATATTTAACTCCAGCCATTAACTCTGCTTGAAACCCTGTATCCATTGTTGAACATTTCATTAACACACATATCAATTGGATGAAATTAAATCTGTCAGAATTGCAGTTATGTCTTTTTATCCTTAATCGAAGAATCTTCCTGATATGTTTAGTTTCCATGTATTTTCATTTATAATGTTATAAAATTATTAAATTATTTCATGACTTCACTGATAACAGTGTTTTGAGTATTCTAACTATTGTTTCTATTATAATGTAAAATTAACTAAGGCTTATATATTTAAGACTTATATATATATATAACTAAGACTTATATTAATTTGTTTTCAACATTCTGTCAATAAAAGAGTGAGGAAGGGGGAAAACCTCAATAAAGTTTCAAATGTGTATGCAATGTAAAATATGTACATACATACTTATATGTAATATATATGTATGTACATACATACATATATATTTGTATACATATCAAAATTATTTATTATATAACATTGATTAATCATGTGTAAAATTATTATTCTTTCAGAGGAAGTTATTTTAGCGGAAGAAAGAACAACTTTAGAAGAGAAGCTTCATATAATTGAAGGTAATATTTACACTTTTTTAAGTATTGTATTCTTTGTATTTAAAAATTTAATTTATCATGAGAAAATATCAGTAGTTCTTACATAATTATGAAAATATGCAAAGAGCATTAATCAATTTAATGTATTTTACTTCCAAATTGATATACTACTACTGCAATAAATGCTTTGCTGTTATATGCGGAACGAAAAATGTTTTCTTAACTAGAACAACCCTCACTTTGGTATAAATTTCTTGTTTTTGTGTTGCATTTAAATAAGGATTTACGATCATACATGAATTAATATATATAGCTTCTTCATGAATAATTATACTAATGGAATTCAAAAGTCATAAAGGTTCTATAGTATTTTCTATCTCTCAGTATGATCTAATTTGAAACTGTAACAAAACATAAGATTTCAAAGAATTTTATAGCTCTAGCTATATTGCAGTTTAAATTTAGCTCAAAAGAATTATAAATAAGACCGGAAGACCTTAAAAGAATAGATTACTAAAGTTTGTTATTTTGAATTGTAAGTTCATTAGGTTTTTTTTTTTATGCTGGAGACGTGAAAAATGTGCTGTATGCTTGCTGGGATTGGAACTCCGGACCTCCCAAATATGCGGCGAGTGTGCTTCCAGTTACACCACAAAGACATGCAGAAAGGAGGGAGAAAATACCATGTAAAGTTATAAAGAAATCATAATAATAATATTTCAACTGAAATGCCAAAGAATTTCAATTGCTTTATTATTATGCAAGGGAAATGGGTACATGATATGAACAGGCGAATCAGCTTGTTAAACCATGAAAGCATAATAAATTCTTAAACTAATGTCTTTTTACAAATTTATTGTCTTTATTTATAGGATTTTTACAAAATTTTAAACGATATTAAAATGTATATGCCTTCAACACAAAAAATTCTTAGAACTAACATTTGCTAATATTTTTTATGTGTATACTGTATGCTGTCGCCAATAAAGACTGCTTGGTGAGATTTGTGCTGGCAAAACAGAAAAGTACCATGAAATGTAATAGAGCATGCCATCTACTGTTTGTTGTTGATTTCAGTTTTAAGCATGTAAACTATTAAATATTAATAATTTTTCACAATCAAATTCTCTGAATCAAATTTAGTTGAGGACAGTTTAGCTTATTAATTGCTCTCGTGTTAACTCTATTGAAAAAATGACAGTCAGAATTTTCTCACATGCAAAATTTATTGGGGATGTTCTGGACACTGATTTTCTTGATTCCATTAAACAAAAGCACACTTCTATCCCCCCCCCCCCCAAAAAAAAACCAAAACCATTGGGTTATGACAGAAGTTTGTTTATTAGACTTATTCAAATGATGGAATGAGTAAAAAATTATTCAAGCTGTAATGCATTTGAAGTTTTTATTTGTAAGACATTCTTGTTAATTATGAATTTAATATGTATAATAATGATAAAAAATATTATGAGTATTAATTTAGAAATAGGAGAATAATTAAGTCCTGTTAAAACTATTAAAAAGGCATCATATGATTTCAACCACTCCACATCTTCAAGTCATTCAAGTGTGTAAACAACATGGAACTCTCTTAGCTTCATTGGATCATATGTAGAAACCTTTAAGAAAGATTACTATATAGATATTAGATGCCTTGATAAAAGAAACTGCTAAGCCAAATTTTTAAAAATGTATGGCCTGATGAATACTGCTTGTAATAAAGAGGATGGCTTGTTGCAGGGGGATAGAAGTGAAGATGAACCTCACCTCTTTCCTGCATCAACTACTTTAAACAATTGTGAAAAAGTACTGATAGGGACACTTGAGAAAGACTGATTGAAAAATGTGTGTACTGTAATTGCTCGAATGGTAAATGTGAATGGTAATAATAATATTCTTAATGCTAAATGCAACAATAATATAATAACAATCTAAATATAATACTATAATACTTTTTTTAATAAAATACTAATATTTATTATTTCATCTATGCACCTTGAATTTGAAGTAAAACTTTTTATCCAAAGCTGAAGGAATAATGAAGGTGCACTTTAGATCTTGGTATCTTAGATTTGAAGAAATACTGTATTCTTGATTTTTTTATTATGTCATATGTAATTATACATTGCATTAAAATTGTATTTAATTCATGTTTATTCTTTTAAAGACCATATGTAATTATATAAAATTTGTTGATTTTCTTTCTGTATTCATAAAGCTCGAAAGCGTACTGCTAAAAGGAAGAAAATGAAAAATATGCACAGTAAAAGCACAGACGAAGATGAAGAAGAAGATGATGGTAGTAAAGAAAGTGATTCTGTTGGTAAGTTTTCAAACTACCATTTTGTTAGAATAAGATTTAATCTAAAAATTATTCTTGAAAGAATTTATGACTCTTATGCATTACCTGATACCTTAAGGCTTCCTTTGGTAAGTGGCACCATTTGGCCTCTTTTGATGACCCTCTCTAAGCTCACAGCAACTTTTTCTCTTTGTAATTTATTTTCGTATCCAGATAAATTAATACAAGTTTCCATAAACCAGCAACAGTTGAATCAGTCTTGTCATATAGCTTAGGGATCAGACTCTAATATACAGTCTCATACAATGTTGTAGTTCCATAGAATGCTGTCTTTTTTATGTATTATTTCGTTTGTTAGGAGTTAGCACTTCTCAAATATTTGGCAATGTGCCATAATGTTGCAAATATCACACAATAGTTTTATTTTAATTAGCTGGTTAAATCCCAGATATCTATAATTATATAAGTGTTGTTGTAAAAAAGTGCAAATATATATTGTTTCCAACAACTTGCTACAAATATTGCATGAAATTGAACATTTAATCTATACAAGATTTAGAAAATATTTATAAATACGGGTTTCAAAACCTGCATATGTGGAAACCTATAACAAAATTGAATTGCATAACACTAAACTATCAGTTAATATATATATATGTTAGTTTTATTATCAGTTTATAAGAAATATATTGTTAAATATATCGGTAAATACTTATTTAATTTGCATAACTTTACTATAAATTTTACAATGTAGATTCTTTTCACTTATAACATGCTTATAATGATCAGTGTGACTATTTATGATATGCTTGTTCCACTGTCTCATAAATTTTTATTGTTAACGAAGAGTATACAGCATCAGTAATTTTCATACCAAGTTTTTCCACTATTGCCAAATGATAATTCAGATGTTTAATTCTGTAGAGTGTTGTAATGAATAAAAGAGGATTAAGTTGTGAGCAGTGGTATGTGCAGGGTTTAATATCTGCAAAAGTTATATTCATGCAAAATTCATTAAAATATACTTAATAAATAATTTCATTAAAACTAAATAGTAGTAATTTAATGATGGTATAATTGCTGCCTTTTTGCCTGAAAATCTTTCATTAAAATAAGTACTAGATAAAGTGATCGAAATAAGTTCCTGCTGGGTATGTTCATGGATTTTGCAATATATATTGGCATGAAACTTCTCATTTAGAAATAACTAGAACCTCATAAATACTATTTGAAATTTTAGTACTTGCATACTATGCCGTCGGGCGTGACACTGTCGCCAATCAATGTTGTTCTAGCTCCAATTACTGGATAAACATGATATCCCAATACACTCATAACATCCGTGCTTTCATTTAATACCCTGGTAGTAACTGCATTCCAGTATATATTTAGAGCTAGTCAAAAGAATTAATATCAGTTGAATGAGGGAAAAACAGCTGGATATCATCAACAAAACATTAATATATTTGAACAATCATCTGCGGGAAGTTTGTACTCACAGCATTCTAAACAGCGCTTCTGCGAAAAGCGGAGGGCCTAACAATTAATAGGATTTGATAAAAGTCTTTTTTATGAAGCAGGTTGACTACTTCTGCAGTAGTGGCTATTTTATGGATTGTGCAGAGAGAATGTTTTATTGTAAGAGTTGCAAATAAAAGTGAGGCTCAATTTTCCTGAAATGATTTGCACAGCTTTAGAGGGATTTTCATCAGCTTTCATGACTCAATGATTGCCAACTTTCATGGTCGATGGGATAATACATATGCACTGGAATTATTACTCTATGATATCATGTTGAGGATACTTTTATATTATTCACAAAAACTAAAACTTCTCCAACAACAGAATTGAAACTGTTTTCATAAATCTTTGCACCTTACTTTATGAAGCTTAATTTAAAATATATGTTCAGCATCAGTGTTTAAAAGAATAAAGGCCTATTTTTAGAGAGTATGTGTTTTATTCTTGTGAAAGTAAATCGCTAAGAATATTAATAATTTTTATACTTTTCAACATTAAAAAACATAGTGCATAATTACTCCTAGAATAATATAAAATAATTTGCATTTCATTTCATTATAAAGGCTGACACTAAAAAGTTTTAAGATTGCCTCTGTTTCTCTTTTTCAATATCAGATGTGGTAACTCTGTACTGGGCTTACTGAAGCGTTTAAATCTGTAGTTGAACCATGGCCTTCAACTGCAGAAAATGGAAACGTTTAGTATGTTTTGTTGAGATAGGTTAGGAAGACACTTATATGACAGAGAGAGTAATTAAGTTTTGTGTTAAACTTGAAAACAGCTGTAACAAGACACTTTAAATGTTATAGTACATATTCAGAGATGAACCTTGAAAACCATTTATCTAGACCTATAATGCCCTGCTTAACATTGCTGCTGTGGTTATTAACAGTTTCATCTGTCAATGCTATGGTATCCTATATACGCCCTAGACTTAATGATATTTGATTTCTGCAAATTCTTAGTATTAAAAAAGGTAATTACATGAAAAGAAATTCTCTTTAGATGAGGAAATGAAAAGCATTATTCTCACATTGCTAAAGAGGATGATGCAAAACAGTTTTTATTTTATGTTTTTGATTTATTTATAAATTACTATAAAAAGTGGAATTCAATGTGAAAGACTAAAATTTTAAAAAGAAAAGAATACAGGACCCATCATTTTTCACCACCATTGGACCCACCATTGATTGTGAAAGAACAATTTGTCTTAAATTTTCTCAGTCAGCTTATATAATAACATCAGACTTTTCAGCATGTATATAGCTCCTGCATCTATATAAACTTTGAAATGAATGTAAGATTTGAGACAGTTATTATGTTCAGAGCACATTTATATAGTTCAGGTTCATTATATCTTAATCCGATGTTAAAACTTAAAAAAAACTTGGTTTTTTTTTTGGAATTTAAGTAACTAGCAATAATGGAGATCTGCAGAAAGGAAGGGAAGAAAATAAAATGTATAAAAGTAAATGTTGTCCTAACTGTGAAAAATGTTTTATGAATATCTTCCATTTTTTAAGGAAAGTAGAATTTTTGTTTTTCTTTTCTGTAAATTAAATGTTTTTTTTTTTTTTTTTTTTACTTATCTTGCTTGTCATGGATTTTTCAGCTAAAAAGGAAAAATTAAAAGGTGAGATCTAAATTTAGTAATTTATTTTATAAATTGCAAATTTCTATTCTTATGTGTTCTTAATCTGTGAATATTACATTCTAACATGGATATTTGATAAACTACATTAATGTTTAGCAATAATCTTCTGATAAAAATCATGACAATTTTGTTGTTATAATCATCTTAGTGTGTGAATACTATTTTATTGGCATTATATTATCTGTATAATTAATAGCAGCAAGATAATAATTTTGTTTCTTAAAAGGAAAGCATAGTTGAGATAAGAATTTTGTTTAATGTGTATTTAATTACAATTATATATTCTTTTTGTATTAAGGAGTTATTTGGAAGAAAATGAAATTATTTCCCAAAAATATACTAATTAAATAGTATGGTTTCAGGGTTGGCTAGGGCTTCCTATTTCAAGGCCAAAATAAAGAACAAAGGAGCATGTAAAGCCTTTTGGCGTGTAGAAAAACGAATAAGGTAATTTTAGAATGATTTTTTTTAGTTTTCTTTCAGTATATTTTATGTATTAAAATATGAAAATAATATTCGAATATACAGTAGACTCTTAATTAACTGACTTCTATATCATTAAACCTTAGGCCTGGTAAATGAAAGACTAGTTAATTCAAAAAATTATGAAAAATATAATTTATAGGTTATAAATCTTATAAAAGTCTGTTTGTACATAATATAGAAGTATTTTATGAAACATTTAACAAATATTTTTTTAGATGTTTCATCAATCACCAGTAAAAAATCATAATTTTTTTAATCTCTTTCTCCTTTTTTGTTTCTTATTTTAAAAGAAATTCACATCACTTTATTAAAAAAAAATAATATCATTTACAGATGGATTGTTTTGCAGTTCAATATCGTATTCTTTTATATATATCCATGATATGTCATCAGTAATTTCACTGTTTTAGCTTCTTCATAGGGTATGTTTTTGAAAGCTTTTTCATTTTTGTTTTGTGTGTTCATCTATATAAGAGATTTCTGGTGTCTTTCCTGGTCAATCCCTAGGTTCTTCCAACATTCAATTTAGTACATATTCATTTCACATGCTTTGCATTATCATTATGATCCAACTCTTAATTTTGTTTCTGTAGTTCATGTATATGGATGTCTGGTGGCGTAGTTGCTAGCGTGTCGCGCAGCAGACCAGGTCTAGGGTTCGATCCTTGGGCTGGGCAAAGTTGCCTCTCACCACTTGAGTGGGTCAATAAAATGAGTACCAAGTTTGCTTGGGGACTAACCACCAGAGCTGCTGCGACAAGCTGACCACTTATCCAGGGCATATGCTCATGCACTCCTGGACCCACAGTCTAGAAAGCAGATATCAGAACACTGCAGGCCATGGCTCTCTAAGGGTGTTTGTGCCTCTAAATTTAGTTTAGTTTTAGTTCATATATATATCTCCCTGTGTTAAGTTTTTCATTTCAAATTACTGTAAATTAAAGTAATGATAAAAAATACGTATGCAGAATGATTATGATTGAAAAGGCACAGATATATCATATCACTAACTGAAGCCTAAGCTGAATAACTTTCAGAACTATGATTAGCAATGCTCTTTTTAACTTTGCTTTATTTTCAGAAAGAAATGATACAGTATTTTGTTTTATCCACATTGTTTTAGCTGTTGTGCCATTTGAAACTCATATCAGTGAAGTGGGGTGGAGAATGTTTATTCTTGTGATATGTTGTAAGATGAAGCAATAAAAGTGTACACATAGTTGTTAAAGTGACAAACAAGTAGCGAATGGTAATTTCTTGTATGTAAGTGCAATACAATCTCAACAAGGCAAGCTGCATATTAAATTCATGCAAAACATTGAAAATAACAATAGTAAGTGATTGACAAAAGAAAAGAAAAATAGCTAAATGTAACACTATACATGGGAAATTACAAAACAAGAGAATTACAAAACAAGAGAAACTCACCCGCAGAGTTATGATGTAAAAACCTTTATGTAACTTGAATTTGACTTAAATTTGTAAATTAATGGAATATAACTTATTTATTATTGTATGTATATATATATATATGTGTGTGTGTGTGTTTGTGTGTGTATGCATACATACATACATTTTGCTGCTGGACATTAAAATTGCTACACCATGAAATAAGCATGCTATAAATGCCAAATTTGCATGAAAGATAATTTGCCAGGCAGTATGAAGGTACTGGGAGGCAATATGAAGGCATTCCAGTACATGCATGCAAAGCAGCTATGAGTAGCATGTAGAGACCACCGCATGTATAATGGAAGATGAACAATGGCACTGGACACAGGAATGGCATCAGGTTGTCTTTTCTGACAAATCCCAATACTGAATATAGCATCATGATGGAGGTATCCAAGGCACCAAGGAGAATAATGAACGTTGCCAGTTTACATCCATCATCATTATACAGGCTTAGCAGCTGTTGTGCCTTAGGTACACATTCCAGTCACCTCTTATTCACATAGCTGGCAATGTGAGCAGCCACTATTATATTTTTGACATGTTTTAGGCTTATGAGTGTGCCTTATCCTCGAGGCCTGAATGACACCATCTTTCAACAAATACATGTTGCCCATGCTGTCCTGACCTTCTTCAATACAAAGGATTGTTGCTCTTGCCAGTAAGTTGTCCAGATCTGTTGCCAACTGAGAACATCTGGTCATGGATTGCCAAGAGACTGACATGCCATTACTTGCCAGCCACTACAGTTGATGAGCTCTGGCATAGAGTTGAAGCCATATGAAATATTGTTATGTATCTGTCATTGAAGCTCAATTGGACTCAATACTGAGCTGGATTGCAGCTTTTGTTACTACAAGAGGTAGGAGCTCTGTGTACTGAATTCTTCATGCTGTGTACCCCCAGATCATATGCAAATTTAATCTTGTCTTCCATTGTACTGTATATGTACAATAAATAAGATTCTGCTATTAGCTTTCCTTCCTGGTGAAGCAATTTTAACTCTTTCGAGACAAGTGTGTCACTTATGCATTGGCCATAAACTGCATCTCAAAGTTGAGGTTGTCATGTATGAATCACTATTTAAATTGACTCTTAGGATGGGTGTAGCACATATGAATTTTTGGATGGAATGTTAAATTAGTAGCTCTTTACCACATGTAGATGTATGTCTGTTATAGTGGAATTTGTCTAAACTGGAGAATGTTGACCTTAATTCTGTTTGCAGTACTTTTTTTTTTTTTTTTTCCAGAATCAAAGGGGAAATTGTGGGTTGAATAATGTAAAGAAACAAAGCTGGCTATTAGCTAATAAAAACATATGAGGATTCATGATGCTTCTGAATACTTCTTTTTTCCCCCCTTTATGAGGATGCATGTTCCATTAATATAGAAGTTTTATTCATTCCTTTTAGAGTTTGGCTAGCATTGAGGTGAATATTTTGTGTGTCATTTAGCAAAACATTTTCTTATACTTGAAAAGGCAAGGAAAATATAATGCTAAGTTTTCAAATTACATCTGACAACTACCTGAGTGTTCCTTTCATTATCTGCCAAAAATTGGAACAATTGGACCACAAATTTAGTTTTTAGGAAGTTTTTACCAAAATTAGGCTTACTTGTGCTTATTGATCATCCCAATAAGGCAGTGCATCTTGTTAATACCCCAGTGAAAAGTGGTTTAATGACTAAGGAACCCATCGTGAAAGGGTTAATGGCCAGCAGTCTATATTTTTAAATGCATATATATGTCTATGTGTATCCATGTATACTATTCTCTTTTTGGTCATGATTGTGCATGCCCTTCAGTGTTACCTCACCTTTCATGCTTTCAGTGATAATTTTATCCTTTATTATTACTGTCAAAATAGGTTGATTTATATCTCAATCTGTTGCTGATATAATTTTCCATTTCATACATGTGGATTATTTTCAACTTTTCTGTAAAAAAATTAAGATTTTTATTTGTTAGATTTATTAATGCTATTTTTATTTGTACTTTTCAAATCCATTTTAAAAATAAATGAAGAACAACCGTTATGGTGGCAAACAAAAGACTAAACTAAGTATGTGAATATTGTTTGAATATATAAAGTGTAGATCAGGAAAAAGAAGGAATATTTTTTTTTTTTAAATTCTTTTCTAACTGATAGGTTTCAGTTTGAATATTACACACTTAGTATCTACAAATTTACGTAAATTGTGTATTATGTAATTTGGGGGCTTACTGTATATATCTGTAGTGCATGTTCCCTAGACACGTCAGTGTTTCTTTCATTATATTCTCAAGCTTTTTTAACCTGTTTCTATTTTTGATCATGCTCTATGCTGGGGGTACTTAGCTACAATATCCATTATATATTTTCTTAAATCTAGCAATATAAATTTGATGGTGTCCGCCGAAAACAGCGCAAAGTGAAAACTTCGGGGTACAAAACATCGTGGGAGAAAATATCGCAAAGAGAAAACATCGCTGTCTAAAAGATCATGGTACAAAATATCGTGGTCGAAAGTAAAGCGGTTGAAAAACTTCAAAGTTTAAAAACACCATCGTCGAAAATATCATGGTAAAAAACAAAACTTGTACAAATCATCGCGTAATAATAACATCGCACACATACATTTTTCAGTCTTTAAAAGTTGTAAATGCATATTCGCATAATGAATTGTGAGCGCAAGAAGGAAAGAGGAATATATTTATTTTTATAATTCATAATTTTGAATGAACTAATACATTTTCATTGAAAAAGTGAGAAGGAAACCTGAGCATTTAAAACTGAAAATTAATGTAACTTTTATAGCATTTAATAGAAGTTTTAAGCTTATATAGTTAACTAATAAAGGTTATAAATAAATTAATGTTTTTAGAGAGTTTTACTGATAATTTTTCATGAAAAATATATTTTAAAAAAATTTAAAAAGAGGAATATCTTTAACTGCATGAGATAACCTCTATAAAAACTCTTTAATTACTTATCAAATTATTTTCTTTCACATTTTGTTAATTTGATATTCCTTTAGTGAAAATTACATATTGTTTTGTTTCCATTTATTCTTAAATTGTAGTTAACATTTTCATGCATTGCGTGCAATCAATTTTTTTAATGTTGATTTATGGTGAAAGTTAGTTACATAATATGCCGGTATGGGATTTCGAAAACGCATGTGTGTGATGTTATCGTCATGCGATGATTTGTAGGTACTTTATTTTTTGCCTCGATATTTTCAATGATGACGTTTTTAAACTGCAAAGTATTTGAACCGCTTTATTTTTGATCACGATATTTTGTATCACAATGTTTTAGAACTGCAATGTTTTCTCCCAAGATGTTTTGTAGCACGACGTTTTCGCCTTGCATTGTTTTCTCTGCTACATTTCCATCCGCGATGTTTTCGGCTGTAACCAAATTTGATTTATATGCAAAAAATTAATTTACAAAATATGGCCAATTAAAGCAAAGCAGTGAAAATGGGAATTAATTGCCCTTTTTAATATTTTCCCTTTAGAGTATTGTTTAACAATTAAACTTTTTGACTGATTAAATGCTTCACTTTTTTCCTTTTTTAATATGAATAAAGATCAATTTTAAGTATTTTTTGGTAATTATATTTTATAAATATAAATGTTAGATCTTTAATACTGTATTAATATTTGTAAAATTAAAAATTTAATTTTGTATATTTAAAATTTATATATTGCAGTGAAAATTGTAAAGATTTATGTATCTATGCACTAAAACCCTTCTTTTCGGTGGCCATTAATGTCAATTTAGTCTTTATGAGTGTTAAGAATTTGTTTGTTTGCATTCATGTCAAGAAAAATTAACTTCTCCTATTATATGTTAATTTATTTATTATGTTTTTGGTTTCTTATTTTCAGGTTTTTTATTCGTCATGCAGTTAAATCCCAAGCCTTTTACTGGTTTGTGATAGTCTTAGTGTTTTTAAATACTGTATGCGTAGCAGCTAATCATTATGGCCAGCCGGATTGGCTGTCAGATTTTTTATGTAAGTTGTGTTTCTTATTATTTTTAATTTTCATCTTATAAGTCATTTAATTTGTTCTGTAGGTAATTGCATATTAAGTTGTATTTTATCAATCTGTATGTTCATTTATGACTTGCTTTGTGCATAACATAAGCTTTTTATTGCATAATAATATGCCATAGGTTACATGAAACAGTAGCCAAATAATTTTAACTTTACAAAATATTGTGCTAAGTCCAAAACTCAGGCATCCAATATTTGAAATAATCTAATATCTGACATACGGACCAATACTGTTACATATATATACGTATATACATTAGTATAGTAAATAATTAAATTAATATAATTCAGGCTTAACTTCCTCAACAAATATAAGATAAAATTTAGTGGAACAACATGTCTTTAATTGCCAGTGAGGATACATTGCCAGTAGTGTATAGTGCATGCTGATTTTAATTTTGATTTAGTTAAAGGGATAAATGCTTCATTATTTCATATTTTTTAATTTATAACTTTTATATATCATCTAAGTAGATTTTAGCTGATGATCTAAAATCTGGCCTCACCGAAATCCTGAGTGCAAATCACATACTGCAGTCTTTAAACATTTTACATTTTTAAATGTTTCATTCAAAAATATATCATGATTTTAAAATTGGTGGCGAGATTTTGAAACTTCTTATTATTTGTTTTAACCAAATTAAAAATCAAACCTTAAGTTTTGTTGAGATATTTGTAATCGCATTGTTATTGGTTAATAGAAGTATAGCTTTCTGTCATGTCCGATACATTCATTAGCTTTCAGCCAGGTCCGAATTATTCCACAACAGCGCCGGATTCGAGTTTTGACTGTCGTACATGTAAGACGTACATCTGCTCGCTCCTGATTTTGTGCTATTGGAACTCTTCTTTTACTAACCTGATCAGAGTGCATGCCGCTGTAACAGTAGGCCGGCATTGCAATAGACTCTGATTGCTTTCCCCGTTGCTATATTCTCTGCCATCCGCTCCACCATGGATCGAATGATTGATTTTATTGCCGCTGAGATTACCAACTTAGAATGCGTCGAAGAAGCTGATGGATCTCTCTCATCTAAAGATGCACGAGACCTTAAATTCCTTCGTCGTCTCAAACTTTTCATCGACAGAGAATTGAATGCTGATCGTTCTTCTACTTCTCTTCCCAAACCAAACATCCCTACGCTCCTAAGGTTAATGACAACGATTCTTCAATAACTGGAATCAACAAAACTAATGCCAGACGAGCCAGCAGCCCTGCGCGCTCAGATGAAGAGCAAGTCGAAAAAATATAAAGCATTGGATGAAGACAGCTCCGATACGGACTCAGGTCCTAAAGGAGATATTACTAGAAGACCAAGAAAACCCTCTCGAAAGCCTACCCTGACGAATTCCTCTGATTCGACAGCTGAGCCGACCACGGAAACAACTTCTGATAATATGGATACAGCCCCAGAAGTACAGGTCGCAGATCCGGCTACTGAAACACCAAAAAATAACGTCATGGACACTTCTCCCAGTCCGCAACCAATGCTGACGCTACCATCGACCAATCCTAACACGAGCTCAAGAAAACCACCGCCTATCATGGTTAAAGATGAAAGATTCAAATTTTCAGAAGTTAAAGCACTCCTCATCGGTTATAATCTGCAGGCTGAAAAGGATTACTTTGGTCAATTAATTCAGAGTGGATTTAAAATCCAATCCAATCCAAATCCCCTGCGCTTTATAAACAAATCGTACAGGTCTTCAAAGACAAAGGTATTCGATATCACTGCTTCGAATTGCCTGAAAACAAATATGTTAAGGCTGTTATTAGACATCTCCCCAATGACACGGACGAAAGCGAAATTGCTGAGTATTTAACTCAAAAAGGTTATAGCATAGCATCATCAGAGTGAATCAACTCAAACGAAGACGAGACGGAAAAGTCATAAATATGCCTCTCTTCTTGATCACCCTGGATCGTAAGGAAAAAAGTAAAAATATCTTCGACGAAGAATTCATCCTAGGAATGAGGATTAAAGTAGAAAGATACCGAGGTAGAGCTGGACCCCTGCAGTGTTTTCGCTGCCAGGGATTTCACCATGCTCAGACACATTGCCACCATGAACCTCGGTGCGTTAAGTGTGGAGACGCTCATCAATCGTTTTTATGTAAAAAAGACAAGAATACTCCCCCTACGTGTGCGAATTGTAAGATGACTGGACACACTGCGAACTTTCGTGGTTGTGAAAAGTTTCCAAAGCCTAAAGCTCAGGTTCAGCCATCATTTTATGCAGATCGAGTAATTAGTAACAAATCCTACTCGCAAGCCTTAGCCAGTGGACTTGCCCCTGAAGCGGTAAGCGAAGCTAAAACCATTCTACATGAACTTAAAAGCTTTGTCGCAATTATTCAAAATTCTGGACTTCCCCTGCTCTTCAAGCAACTAACCCAAGAAAAAAACGCTCTGCTCTCAAGCCTAAAAAAAAAAACGCTCTACCTCAAAATGTGATCTCAGATAATGGGCCAACACACTAATAAGGCAAATTTAATCCGCTTCATGGTGTGGAATTCAAATAGTCTCCGCAATAAAATCTCAGAACTGCAAGAATTTCTGTACGAGCACGATATTGACTTCGCGCTCATTACTGAGACACATGCTCAAAGATGTTACAGTCTGAATATCTCCAACTACAGAATCTATCGCTGTGATAGAACTAGCCATCGAGGCGGAGGTGTCGCCATCTATGTGAAGAGAAATTTACCATCTTGCCTAGTTAAAGAGTGTAAAGACTTTGGTTGCGAGCTGATTACAGTGTGCATTACCCTTCCGGTGTACAAAAATATTTATTTCAGTGCTTTTTATAATCCACCACCGCATAATGTGTTAACTTATAACCTACTAGACTCAATCCTTCCTCCTGATACTCCTACGATCCTGGCAGGAGACCTAAATGCCAAGAGCATCGCATGGAATTGCCGTAAAGGAAATACAAACGGTAAAACTCTACAAAATTACATTTTAAGCCATCCTGTTGTTATTTACACACCGGACGAATACACTTATCGCCCGGACAGAATAGAATATTCCGACATTCTGGATATTGTCTTGTCCACCACAACTATCCCTATCACGCTTGAAGTATTGCACGAACTATCCTCGGATCACTTACCGATCATTGCTACTTTAGGAGTGAACAAAAATAATACTGCTTCCACTAGGAAAATTACTGACTGGCAGCGCTATGAACTCTTCATGAAAGACAGTGTTCTTGATGTCAGAAATTTGAACTGTGTTGATAACATCGACTCTGCAGTATCCTCATTTACCTCAAAAATTCAAAGGGCTATTGAAAATGCTAGTGATACAGTTGTAAATACAAACACGCTCTTCCGACTGCCGCCTAAAATACGTCAAATGATGAGGCATAGAAATCGCCTCAGAAAAATTTACAACCTTACCTGGGATCCTGTCGCCAAAAGGGCGATAAATCGCCTAAACCGGGACATCAAAACTGCTGTGAAGCAACACAAGGACGAACTCTGGTGTGAAAAAATGTGCAACTTAGATTTCCGTGACGGATCTCTTTGGACTTTAATAAAAAACCTCAAAGCAAATTTTGTTACCAATCGTCCCATCTTCCATAACGGAGTTGTTGCCCTTTCAAATGAAGATAAAGCAAATGTTTTCGCCTCGCATTTGGAACTACAATTTACGCCAAATGATTGGCCTGTGGACAGAAACTTTGAACTTTTCACCCTTACTCATGTGAAAGATTGGCTAAATGCCCCCACAGCACGAAATATTCCCAAATTTGCTACCCCTGTAGAAGTGTCTCAAATTATTAAAAAACTCAAATCACGCAAAGCTCCCGGAAATGATGGCATTTCTAATACTGCAGTTAAAATGTTACCTACCTCCCTGTGCAGTAGCGAATTTCACTAGCATTTTAAATGCGTGTTTATTTAACTCCTACTTTCCACAGCAGTGGAAAAGTGCAAAAATTATTTTAATTCCTAAACCTGGAAAGGACCACACGAAACCAGATGGCTATCGACCTATTAGTCTCCTGCCTGTGCTCGGAAAAATTTATGAGCGCATTATTCTCTCACGTATGCAATCCTATCTAAACATGTTGCCTCCGGAACAATTTGGTTTCCGCCAGCACCTTTCTACTACGAAGCAAGTTGTTACGCATTACTGACTTTTGTGGCTCTGCTTTGCATAACAAACAAAGTGTTGGTCTCCTCATGTTGGACGTGGCGAAAGCCTCTCATGTTCGACCGCATCTGGCACGAGGGGCTCATATCCAAATTAATTACTGCTTACTGCTAACGTGGACCGAGAAATGATCTTGACAATTCACTCCTTCATTACAAACCGGACTTTTTGTGTTTGTGTGAACGGTGCTATCTCCTCGTCTAGAAATATCCATAGCGGTATTCCGCAAGGGTCAGTTCTAGGACCTTATATGTATCTATTTTATGCTGCTGACTTTCCTCAAGCATCTCAAAATAACGCTATTTTGGCCTGTTATGCAGACGACACTGCCCTGGCAGTAAAGTCTGTTAATATGAATCACGCCATCAAAAAACTACAAGATGTCATTCCTAGCATTGAACGATGGTGCGCGCAATGGAAAGTCCAAATAAACGCAGCCAAATCTCAACTTCTTCTCCTCATACGCAGAAATAAAAGGAACACACCTGTCAAAAGAGGACTTTATCTATTTAACGAATTTGTTCCAATTGTTCCCCATGCCAAATACCTCGGAGTGATTATAAATGATCTCTTAACGTGGACTAACCATATAAATTACGTCAGGGATAAGGCCTTACAAATTATCAAATGTCTCTTCCCAATTATCGGTAAATACTCCACTCTCGACCTAGGAAAAAAGCGGCTCATCTACACGTCTGCTATCAGACCGATCATGACTTTTGAGTTATCAGCTGACGTTCCTTTCGCCTCCCCAGCGTGGGCCGCCCTGACCAAAACTGACCTCAATAAATTA